TTTTACGGAATTTGCCCAGTGCACCCAAGTGGTAGAATTTAGTGGCATAAGTTGCTCATAATATGCCATTCTTATTCTTTTAATATGTGTAGAATCTATAGTGATGTCCCCTCTTCATTCCTGATGTTGGTAATTTATTGCTTTTTAAAAAAAAAACAGTCTAATTTGAGGTTTATCATTTTTAAAAGTAAACTCTGTGCCCAATGTGGGACTCAAGCTCATGACCCTGAGATCAAGAATCACATGCTCTACCAACTGAGCCAGCCAGGCAGTCATTAGGTTTATCAGTTATATCAATCTTTTCAAAGAATCAGCATTTTGGATAATTGACTTTTCTCTATTTTTTAAAATTTCATTTATTTTTGCTTTATTTTTATGTCATTCCTTCCACTTAAATTTATTCTTCTCTTTCTAGCTTAAGTTAGAAACTTTATTTTACACCTTTATTTTCTTGAAATGTTAGCACTTAAATCTACAAATGGGGGTTCTGGCTGGCTCAGCTGGTAGCAAATGTGACTCTAGATCTTGGGGTCCTGAGTTCAAACCCAACGTTGGGTATAGACATTATTTAAAAAAACAAACAGACAGACAAACACGTAAAGCTACAAATGTACCTTTATTGATTTAGCTGAGCTCACAAATTTGTGTTTTTATTATTTAGTTAAAAATATTTTTTTAGAAAAAAAGGAGGTGCCCAGGAGCACCTAGGCATCTCAGTCAGTTGAGCATTTGACTCATGGTTTCAGCTCAGGTCATGATCTCAGGGTTGTGAGACTGAGCCCCATGTTGGGCTCCATCCTCACCAGGGAGTCTGCTTGACATTCTGTCTCTTGCTCTGCCCCTTCCCCTCCCCTCTCTAAAAAAAATAAATCTTTTTTTTAAAGATTTTATTTATTCATTCATGAGAGATACAGAGAGAGAGAGGCAGAGACATAGGCAGAGGGAGAAGCAGGCTCCATGCAAGGAGCCTGATGTGGGACTCAATCCCGGGACTCCAGGATCACACCCTAAGCTGAAGGCAGATGCTTAACCACTGAGCCACCCAGGCATACCCCAAAATAAATCTTTATAAAAAAGGGGGGACATCTGGGTGGCTCAGTGGTTGAGTGCCTGCCTTCAGCTCAGGTCGAGATCCTGAGGTCCAGGGATCGAGTCCCACATCGGGCTCCCTGTGAGGAGCCTGCTTCTCCCTCTGCCTGTGTCTCTGTCTCTCTCTGTTTCTCATGAATAAATAAATAAAATCTTAAAAAAAAAAAGGGTGCCTGGTGTCTCAGTGGTTAGAACATGTGACTCTTGATCTCAGAGTCCTGAGTTCAAGCCCCATGTTAGATGTACAGCTTAATTAAAAAACAACAGCAAAAACAGGAGCACCTGGGTGGCTCAGTGGTTAAACATATGCCTTTGCCTCAGGTCGTGATCCCAGGGTCCTGGGATCAGGCTCTCCACAGGCAGCCTGCTTCTCCCTCTGCCTATGTCTCTGCCTCTCTCAGGAATAAATACATAATATCTTTAAAAAAGTTAAAAATATTTTCTAATTTTGCTTATTTTTTCTTTGATCTTTGAGTTATTCCCAAGTATTTGGGGATTTTTCCAGATATTTTGTTATTAATTTATAATTAATTCTATTGTGGTCAAAGAACATAACTATTTTTAAAAAATATTTTATATATTAATCATGAGAGACACACAGAGAGAGGCAGAGACACAGGCAGAGGGAGAAGCAGGCTCCATGCAGGGAGGTCGACGCGGGACTGGATCCTGGGACTCCAGGATTACTCCCTGAGCTGAAGGCAGACACTCAACCACTTGAGCTACCCAAGCATCCCATATAACTATTTTTTTAAAAAGATTCATTTATTTACTTTTAGGATTTTATTTATTTGACAGAGAGATAGAGCACAAGCGGGGGAATGGCAGAGGGAGATAGAGAAGCAGGCTTCACTGAACAGGGAGTCCGATGCGGGGCCCAATCCTAGCACCCTGGGACATGACCTGAGCCACCCAGGTAGTATAGTCATCCCCACTGTAAGAAAACTATGACACAGAGAACTGTTTATTTATTTGAGAGAGAGAGAGAGAGGCAGCGTGCAGGGAAGGGCAGAGGGATAAGTAGAGGAGACTCTGCATAACAGAGTCTGATGTAAGGCTCGATCTCACCACCCTGAGATCATGACCTGATTTGAAATCAAGTTGGACTCTTAACCAATTGATGCACCCCAAGGATAGAACTACTGATTTCAATTCTTTCAAATTTGTTTTTATGGTTCAGTCTATAGTCTTGAATATTCCATGTGCACTTAAAAGAAAGTATATACTATTGTTGAGTGCTGTGTTCTATGTTGTCAAGTTGGTTATATTGTTCAAGTCTTGTATATCCTTATTAATTTTCTGTCCTATCAAGTACTGAGACAGGAGTGTTGATATGTCCAATTATTATCATGGATGTCTATATCTTCTGTTAATTCTGTCAGTTTTGCTTCAGATATTTTGAATCTCTGCGACTGAGTGCATACAAATTCAGGATTTTGAAATTTTTATTTATTATTTTAATTTATTTATTCATTCATGAGAGACACAGAGAGAGGCAGAGGGAGAAGCAGGCTCTCTGAGGGGAGCCTGATGTGGGACCCAATCCTTGGACTCTGGGAACAAGCCCTGAGCTGAAGGTCAATGCTCAACCACTGAGCAATCCAGGGGTCCCTTTTTTTTTTTTTTTTTTACGTCCCTCTCTTATCTGTTAGTACTCTTGGTCTTGCATTTTGCTTTGCCTGATAGAACTACTCCAGCTTTCCTATTGTTTCATGATACATCTTTTTCCATCCTTTTACTTTTAGCCTGTTTTATTATTCAAAGTGTGTTTATCATATAGTTGAGCCTTGCTTTTTAAAATCCAGTTTGAAAAATCTCTGCTTTTCCTGAGTGGTTAGGCCACTTCCTTAAAGTAAATTCTTCCTAAAATAGAGCAGTGCTTGTGGTTTAGGAAATTCACTCCTGCTTTTTATTGGCATTCCACAGGATAAGGATAAGGGACTGGATCATGGCCTCTTCTTCCGGGTTCTCTGTGCTGTAGTTTTCTTACCTGTAGAGTGGGGATGACTATATTACCTCAAAGCACTGTTAGGAGGATTAGAGGAGCTAATCCACATAAAGCACATAGTAAACACTCACATGAAATCTACCAGTAGGGGCATCTTGGTGGCTTTGTGTTTGCCTTTGCCTCAGGTCATGCTCCAGGGGTCCTGGCATCAGCCCCCTGCTCAGCGGGCAGTCTGCTTCTCCCTCTTCCTTAGCCTGTCACTCCTCCTGCTTGTGCTTTCTCGCTCTCCCTCTGTCAAATAAATAAAAATCTTAAAAAACAAAACAATCTACCAGGAGCTTTAGATCCTAAGACGACAGTAACAAATTATTACTATTATTTCACTGAACACCCTCTCTGTTTGGCTTTGAAGTGTTGGCTTAAGAAATTAATCCCACTTTAGTTAAAAAGTGCTCTCCTGTGTATCTTCTTCTGCTGAAAACTACTATTGCAAGCCTATGTGTTATTTCAGTTTTTTCTCCATTCATTTTTCAACTATGTGCTTTCCTTTGCTAGCCAGTCCTTTTTTTTAAAAAAAAAATTTTTTTTGTTGAAATCCAACCGTACACTTTAATGCATGCATTTTATTGTATAAGTTTTACCTCAATAAAGTTGATTTTTTAAAAAATTTTTATTCATTTATTCATGAGAGAGACAGAGAGAGAGACACAGGCAGAGGGAGAAGCAGCCTCCATGCAGGGAGCCTGATGCGGGACTCGATCCCAAACTCCAGGATCACACCCTGAGCCAAAGGCAGATGCTCAACCACTGAGCCACCCAGGGATCCCAAGACAGTTTATTTTACTTTTTTAAAGGTTTTATTTATTTATGCATGAGAGACAGAGAGAAAGAGGCAGAGACACAGGCAGAGGGAGAAGCAGGCTCCATGCAGGGAGCCGGACGTGGGACTCGACCCCAAGTCTCCAGGATCACACCTTGGGCTGAAGGCAGTGCTAAACCACTGAACCACCGGGGCAGCCTTAAAGTTGATTTTAAAAACTAAAAAAGCGAAACTGGGAAAATTCTGTCACTTACATCAGTGTATATAATGTGTAAGTTAAAGACTAATAAAAAATAAATTTAAAAAAAATTTAAAAAAAAATTAAAGACTAATAATAATGCAACCAACATCCATGTGCCCATGTAGTAGCTTAGGAAATTGTGCAACAGCAATCCTTCTGAAGCCCCTGCCTGCTTCATTATTAATCCTCTATTAACTTATCCTCATAAGCTTTGCCATACATGTATCTCCATGCAATAGTCTTGGCTGCCTCTGAGCTTTAGAGTCATGCCAAATGTATACTTCTGTGACTTGCCGTTTCTTCTCATTTTTAAGATTTTGCTATGCTTATGTGTGTAGTGGTTACTAACTTGTACAGCTCCATATTATTGCCATTCTGTGGCATGCATACAGGCTGTTTGTAGTTTTGGATTTTTCCAAACAAAGCTGCCATGAATATTCTTGTTCATGTATTTTCTAAATTAACATGCTGAGATGAAACTGCTGGTTGTGAGGTACATGTTCAACTAGTTAATGCCAGCTGTTTCCAAAGTGGCTTGTATTAATTTATCTTTCCACCAGTACAGTAAGAATTCCTTCAGCACATCTTTGCTAACATCCACTGACACATTTTCACATTCTAATACTTCTCTGCACACTTAAGTCTGTTAACAGACAACACTTAAATGTTCATGTAACCTGTGCCAGGCCCTGTCCTGAGCACTGTATGATCTCATCCTCACAAGAACCCTATTGATTAAGAACATGTAGTCATTTATGCCCAAGAGAGCAAGTCTTTCTCCCTCCCCTGACTACTTCCCTTTTGTCTGGGCCTAGTGGCCACCTCATCTCTTTCTTCTCCCAAAGTGCGTTGGGATGGGTCCCAGCAGGGCCTCAGTCCTACCCCGAACCTTTCTTCCCCAGGGTGTTACTCCCTGTCAGTCCGCCTCAGCCGCCCTGCGTCGTGGGACAGGATCAGACACTACAGGATCCAGCGCCTTGATAACGGCTGGCTGTACATCTCACCACGCCTCACCTTTCCTTCGCTCCAGGCCCTAGTGGATCATTATTCTGGTATGGTCTTTTCTTGCATCCATTAGACAGGGATGTGGGATCTGGGTAGCAGACGGTTGTGCCCTTGGATAATCTACCTGCTGGAGAACATCCAGACAGGTGGAAGAGGGGCCTCTCCATCCCCATGCCAGTCCCTGTGCTGAGAACGTAGGCCAGAAGCTCCATCTTCATCCCATGCCCTGACAGCCACACAAACCTCCCATGTGAACCTGGGCTGGCACCTCACTTACCATGGTGGTTCGAGTCCAAGGCCTCAGTGACAGGCACAGTTCTCTAAACAAGCCTAGAGCTGTTGCTGTTGTACAGCAGTTCAGTTGATTCTTAGCATTTTCTGGTGCCTGTCCTGTTACACGGACTGGAGGATGCAGCCACTAGGGCATTATCAAAGGGACAGACAGGAAAGACCATCCTGGGAAAATTGATCAGGGGTTTCCTAGAGGGTGGGTTCATGCAGTGGATACTGACAGAACATGTAGGGATTTAAGTATTCTCTAGCTTCTTCCCAAAGCACTGTCTCAATCAGAAACTGCACTCAAAGAGGTCCATCAACGTACCTAAAACCACAGTAAATTAAATCTTCAAAACCTAGCCCAGAGTGACATTGATCTCAGCCCCTAGATCAACAGCTTGAGACTTGTGGAAAAAAAAAAAAGTAATCTCTATACCCAAAGTGGGGCCTGAACTCACAACCCTGAGACTGAGTCATATGCTCTACTGACTGAGCCAGTTAGGTGCCCCCTGTCATTCTTTTTTGAACATGCCCCCACCTGCCAAATGGGGAAAGCCGTCAGGGTGTGTGTGTGTGGGGGGGGGGGGGTTAGGGAGGAAAGCAGGGCTGAAGTCAGCCGTGTCAAGGGTCTAGGTCTCTTTCTCAGAGTTGGCGGATGACATCTGCTGCCTCCTCAAGGAACCCTGTGCCCTGCGGAGGGCTGGCCCACTCCCTGGCAAGTCCACACCCCTACCTGTTACTGTGCAAAGGGCACCACTCAATTGGAAAGAGCTGGACAGGTAAGGGGACCCCTGGAACATGAAGGCAGAACAAAGAAAGACTCACCCCTGGGAACTCACAACCCCAAATGAGCCTGTCACCTGTGGGGACACTGGTGAGCCAGTATGAGTGACCTCGCAGAGACCAAGGCAGGCTCGGCACGACTGTAGGGGGACTGGCAGGAAAAAATGGGAGAGGGTATAGGGCAGGCCCAGACACCAGAGATGGCCAGGATGGAAGGTCATACAAGATGGGGCGGAACAGAAAGCACCAACCCAAGTCAGGCTGGGGTTTTATGTGACAGAACGGGGAGCAACTGGGACTTTTCAGGTGGGGAGAACTTGAGCTGTGTGGTGAGTGCAGGGAGCATGAGACTACTTGACCCAATTCTCTTCCCCTCTCCATAGCTCCCTCCTATTTGCTGAAGCACCTGCAGCAGGGGAGTCCCCTCTCCTCAGCGAGGGGCTCCGGGAGGCCCTCAGCTCCTACATCAGCCTGACCGATGACAGCTCCTTGGAGGATGCCATGGCCCAAAGCAGAGGCCAAAAGGGAATCCAACGCTGCAGCACCTAGACCCCCAGCTCAGCTCAGCCTTAGTACTCCAGAGGCAAATTCAGAGTCCCACCTGTGTCCTCTGTTCCTTCTTCTTAGCCCTAACAAGTCAGTTAACCCTCTCCCAGTGCCATGAACCCACCTGCAACCTCTAGTTCAAATAAATGGACAGGGCTCCAAAGAGACTAAGCCTTTGGGGTTTGACCCAGTTTGACTGGAGTTTAGGATTTCCAGTACCATCTTCCTCCCCTGCCTGATGATCCCCTTCTATACTCCTACAACCCCACCCACTAGGTAGAAACAACCACTAGCATCAAGAAGAAAAAAAAAATCATTTAAAGAGAATTTACCATTCTCAAAAGGCAGGACCGTGGCCCAGAAGGGACAGGAAAGCAGAAGGGATGGATGTCGTACCAGAGCAACAGAACCCAGGATGTCCAGCCTCCACCTGGGGCCCAGAGGAAAGGGGACCTCTCACAGTCCAGGTTCTCAAACAGCCCCATCAAACCTCTTCTCTGGACAGTCCTAGCTTCAAGATCTCTTTCATTTTGTGGCTTATCATTTGAACCTGCCTAGACTTTCCAGGCTACAGTGGCCTTGCCATCTTGTGGTCAAACACAAAATGGCAACTTCTGGGCCTGGCACACTACGGTGAGGTCGGTCATGTCTCTCAGTGCTGGGCAGGGGCATCAGACATCAGTAAGCCTCTCTACACAAAGCCAAGACCACAGCCTACACCAACTCTAGCACTTGATTTCCCTGCTTCCCATTAAGGGAGGCCCAGCTGGAGCTGCTACAGGAGCAGAGAGAGGAGATGGAGGGCAGGGTTCTGAGGCTAGCGGTAAGGTGGGAAAGGCTTTAACGGGTATCATCAACAGATTTTTCAATTAAAGATTTGATTTATTCAAGTACCCAAAAACATTCTACAATTAAAACTGTTATTAGATGCTGCTTGTACTGTGCTATGGACCACGCACATACTGCCACACTGTTTTCAGAAGACTTGAAATGCCATTGATAGTTTTAAAAACTGTACACCTGATGGAGAAATGAGGAAGACAATTTAATGTTTCATCTGGATCCAGAGGTGCATCAAATTAAACGACAGCTCCGATCAGCAAACAGGTGTTTCATGATGATATCCAAGAAATGGTTGGTGATGGACAATTCAGAAATGCTTCCCCAAAAGGCGGATGGTTCTTTAAAAAGTTTCAGATCACAACCCTTGCAGAAAACACTGATGCCCAACACACTGATTCTCAGTCCAGGAAACATGGGTCTTCTAGGTTCCACGTGGCTGGGGTGCCCCTACAATCAGGTTTCTGTGCTGTAACTATGAAGGTCCTTTGGACTGGACAGAGAGCAGGTGGCGTCTGTACACCATCAGTCATAGTGGATGGCAGTGTAAAAAATGATCCAAATAACCTAGAGAGGAGACAAGCAATGTTCATAGGTCACCTGGGTCAATATAGGCCCCTATTCCACAAAACAAAAATGTTACAGATTTAGGATGTGTGCACAGTGGGTTTCCCAGGGACTATCCAATGCATCTGCCTGGAGGCCTAAATAATTGCACTGAAATCAAGCTGTCTCTAACAGAGCCCAAGAAGACCACGCAGCAGTGCTCCCACAGGGACTACAGATAAGCTTCCCTTTCACCCAAGTAACAACTGGAGCACCAGGCAGTAGAGTTATAAAAATATAAAGAAATGATACAGGTAAAGCAGACTGTACTGCTAGTGTTAGGATTAGCAACAAATTGAAAAACCACCATCATATCCTGTCAAATAAAGCAGAGGTTCTCAAAACTGGCTGTTCACTGCAATCTCCTGGGACCTTTAATCCATATGTATGCCCAGGCACTCCCACCCAGAGATTTTGATTTTATGGATTTGGGCTAGAGTCTATAATTTTAAAAAAATTAACAGATACAATTCAAATTTCATAAAGCTCACCTTTGTAAGTATACAATACAAAAAAAAAACATATACACATTAGAGAGGGGGTTTTTAATATATTTACAGGTGCAAAGATCACTAACTGATTCTGGAACGTTATCACCCTCAGTTTCTTCCCATTTCCTTGCCACCCCCTGCCTCCCTCAGCCACTGGCAACCACTAATTTACTTTTTTCTGTGTGGATTTGCCTACTCTGGACATTTCACATAAATGCAATCACACAATGTTTTGTGTCTAGCTTCTTTCACTTAGCATAACGTTTTCAAAAATCATCAAAGTCATAGCCCCTATCAGTACTTTATGCCTCTTTATAATCTACCACTGTATGGATATACAGCGTTTTATTTACCTATTGACCAGGTGATGGTTGTTTGTGCTTTTCTGCTATTATGAATGCCATACACGTATTTTTAAATATTTCTAGTTTCTACGATGCAGCCAGAGTTGAGAATCAGATATAGAAACTGATGACAGGCACTGGGTGCACACACCATAGGGAGGCTACAGTGTGCCACACCAAATCCTTTGAGACAACAGGGTTTGGTGGAGGAAATGCCCACCGTTCCCTGGAGTTTTTTTTTAAAAAATGGTACCCCAATCACACTGTGTAACCCAATCAATGTGCTCCCCGGGAGAAACCACAGGATCCGCTATATAATCGTCAGCTACACATACCATGAACAAGGCAAAAGATGTCATAAATCCTTCTTTGGTGAGCTCCCACGTGCCACCATACTCTTCCTCATCTATCTGCAGGTAGTTGCTGAAGTACAGGTACAGGACTCCTGCGTTGATCACACAGAATCTGGAGGGAGGACAAGCACCGAACACGAGCCACAAGCTCAGAACACTCAGAACTCCCATCACCGTCCCGCCTTACCAGGACCCCCGTCATTGTACAATCAACTATTGTATTATGGCAGCAAGTGAAATAATATGTTAAAAACACCTAGACCCTCAGTGGAGCTGTTCAGTGAGCTGGAGACATAAAGAGCAAGTTTGTTTGTTTTAGATGCCCAGCAAAAAAGGTAAAATAAATAAAGTTCTCCAAGTCCTCTCACAGTAAGACAGAATGGTAGCTGGACCATCCCAAATAGGACGGGCAGTGGACATGGGCCTCCAAGGAGCTCCAGCTGGATGAGATGGCCACGCAAACACGATAGGCTGCTGCTTCATGGCCTCGTGAACAAGCAAGCATACAAAAGCAGCTCCTGCATTAATTCCCAGTGGGAGACCATTTCCAGATATCTGCTGTCTGCTTCTGCACTTGATGCACAGGTAAACACTGAGTTCCTGCCCTCCCTTAGCTATCTATTAGGAGGCCAAAAACAGGAGTGAGCATGGAATTGAAACCAGAGGTTTGTGAGCACCTCCAGGAAGCTCCTGACCCCTTGTATTATATTATTTAACTAATAAAGGATTTAGAATGCAGTGAGGTATAATATTATTACCCTGCTGTACTGATCTCTTGTTATAATCATCATTTAAAAGTAATTTTTATAAAGTTATTAAGACTTTCTTTCTGATCTTCCTAGTTACAGCATCTAATCTAACGGGGAACTGTTGGTCTTAGGCCACACTGCTCCTGAAGGCTATGGTAGAAAAATGCAAAGAACTGGTTCCTCCTAATGGATGAAGTGTGGGCTGGTGTGGGGGAGGCAGTACAATGATGCTGAGGAGGTCAATCAGTACAAGGGATGGGGGCAGACCCTGAGGCTATTTAAACAAGGTGGGGGGATCCCTGGGTGGCGCAGCGGTTTGGCGCCTGCCCTTGGCCCAGGGTGCGATCCTGGAGACCCGGGATCAAATCCCACGTCGGGCTTCCGGTGCATGGAGCCTGCTTCTCCCTCTGCCTGTGTCTCTGCCTCTCTCTCTGTGACTATCATAAATAAATAAAAAATTTTAAAAAAAATAAATAAACAAGGTGGGGATGAGACAGGTATACAGATGTCAGAAGTCTAGTTTTTGTTTTAAATATTTTATTTTTATTTTTTTTAAGATTTTATTTATTTATTCATGAGAGACACAGAGACATAGGCAGAGAGAGAAGCAGGCTCCATGCAGGGAGCCCGAACGTGGGACTCGATCTGGGGACTCCAGGATCACGCCCTGTGTCGAAGGCAGGCGCTCACCACTGAGCCACCCAGATGTCCCTAAAGATTTTAAGTTATCTCTATACCCAACCTTGAACCCATGACCCTGAGATCAAGAGTCACATGCTCTTTTGGGTGAGCCAACCAGGCGCCCCAGAAGCCTAGTCTGTGAGCAGTTAAGAGTATGGGCTTTCTCATGAATGGGGGGAAAAGGAGCTTGGAAACTGGTTTCGACTTGTACCATGTTTTAGGATGTGAGCAGAAATAGAACTTGAGGACAGGAACTGGGAAAATGGCTGAATGAGGAGGTAGGTAAGAGACCCAAAGACTTCAAGCCTAAGGGTCTAGGAGTATAATGGTTCCAGTAACAGAAGCAGGAAGTCAGGAAGAACAGGTTTTTCTTGGATTTCACACAAAATACAGTCATTGGTCTGGCCATGTTGTGGCCACATCCTTATTTTTTGCCAGAAATCTTGGGACCAATCTGGCTGTCTCCCTCTGTCAGTTTCATATTGTTTCATTTCTTAAAGATTTATTTAAGAGGCTGAGAGACTGAGAGAACAGAGGGAGGAGCAGGAGAGGGAGAGAATCCTCAAGCAGACTCCCTGCTGAGTGCAGGACCCTGAAATCATGACCTGAGCTGAAATCCAGAGCCGGGCACCCAATGGAGTTCATTTTGGACAGGCCGTTAGTGGTTCCAGACAGAGACTACTAGTAGGACTCAAATATTACCCTGGAACTCAGCTAATAAACTAGGCCTGGAGAATGAGACTCATTGAGAGTCTGTGGCTATAAATGTGGCTGCTTGGGACGCCTGGGTGGCTCAGCAGCTTGAGTGTCTGCCTTCAGCTCAGGGTGTGATCCTGGGGTACAGGATCTAGTCCCACATCAGGCTCCTTGTGGGGAGCCTGCTTCTCCCTCTTCCTGTGTCTCTGCCTCTGTCTCTCGTGAATAAATGAATAAAATCTTAAAAAAAAAAAGTGGCTGCTTAGTGATAGGAGGAACAGGGAAATATAAGGAAAAGGAGAGGGATGCCTGGGTGACTCAGTGGTTGAGTGTCTGCCTTTGGCTCAAGGCATGATCCTGGGACTGAGTCCCACATTGGGCACCCTGCATGGAGCCTGCTTCTCCCTCTGCCTGTGTCTCTGCCCCCTTCCCCCCCTCCCTGTGTCTCGGAAAAGGACATAAGGGACATAAGGGATGAGAGAGAGAAAAGAGCTAACAGGGCCTGCCTTCCAAGGGTCACACACTAAGTAGCAAGTGAAGTCACAGAAACAAAGGCATTTATTTAAATGTCTAGTGGTCAAGGGGGAGGGGTCAGAAAGGATTGGAGGGGTTCACACTGAGCTTAAAGTATGAGCATAAACCCTATATTGTAAATGCGAGGAAGAGAACTACATAGCAGATGTGCAAAAAAAAAATGAACGTGTTGGATTGAGGGGGTGGGGGAAAAACCTTAAAAAGATTCTCCAATGCATTCTTAAAAAACTCTATCCTAAAATTTTTTTTTTTTTAAAGATTTTATTTATTTATTCATGAGAGACAGAGACATAGGCAGAGGGAGAAGCAGGCTCCATGCAGGGAGCCCAACGTGGGACTCGAACCCAGGACTCCAGGACCACACCCTGGGCTGAAGGCGGCATTAAACCACTGAGCCACCTGGGCTGCCCTATCCTAAAAATTTCAATCAGAATTTTAACAAAAAGGCAAGCCCGGGATCCCTAGGTGGCGCAGCGGTTTAGCGCCTGCCTTTGGCGCTAAACCCTCCATGGCGTGATCCTGGAGACCCGGGATCGAATCCCACGTCGGGCTCCCAGTGCATGGAGCCTGCTTCTCCCTCTGCCTATGTCTCTGCCTCTCTCTCTCTGTGTGTGACTATCATAAATTAAAAAAAAAAAAAAAAAAAAAGGCAAGCCCAGTGGTTCAGCAGTTTAGCACCACCCTCAGTCCAGGGCCTGATCCTGGAAACCTGGGATCAAGTCCTATGTTGGGCTCCCTGCATGGAGCCTGCTTCTCCCTCGGCCTGTGTCTCTCATGAATAAATAAATAAAGTCTTAAAAAAAAAAAAAAAGAATTTTAACAAAATAATGAATCTCTAACAAATACTCTGATTTCAGGGCTGGAAGATTATATAACAGTGGTAACGTATGAATGACCCTACTTTCAAGGTTTGGTAGGAATTCATTTCAGGTTTTAAAAAATTTTAGGGACGCCTGGGTGGCTCAGTGGTTGAGCGTCTGCCTTCAGCTCGGGGAATGATCCTGGTGTCCCAGGATCAAGTCCCACGTCTAGGCTCCCTGCATGGAGTCTGCTTCTCTCTCTGCCTATGTCTCTGCCTCTCTCTGTATGTGTCTTTCATGAATAAATAAATAAATAAAATCTTTTTAAAAAATTAAAAAATAATTTTAAAAATTTTAATAAGCATTCACTGAGCACTATTAATCATAATGCTCTATGAGAGAAGCAGGAAGGGACGGATAGTGCTCCCTCCTCTCTGATGATGCAAAACCTCAGAACTGAGAAAATGGTTTTACCTTAATATGCCCTCATTGTCGCCACACCAGAAATGAAAAGAAGCCAAGGTGGGGTCTGGACAGAGGGCAGTAAGGCAGGAAGTAGAGGAGATGGTCACCAGAACTGAGCACCAGAGCCATTCTGTCCTAAGCCCAGGCAACTGGGTCAGACAGATGAAGGAGAGGGAATGTGTGTGGAAAAATCAATGTCCTTGGGCCCTTTCCAAGAGCAAGGGGAAAGGTGCCAACCAAAGGAGGAAAGGGATTTGTTTTGAGTGAGAAAAAATGGCTCTGGCATGAGAGCATGGGACTGAACTCCAGGAAACAGGCAGTCCTGAGAAAGTGGCACTATGGGTGAACTACTCCAAGGCGAACTCACTCCCAAACACCTCCTTTCCTGTTTTCTCAATAGCAATTTTTAGCACTCTTTGTATAGCTAATCATATGATTGCAGTGAACCATTTATGGAGTGCATATGATGTCCTAAGCACTACATTTAGGAATTTATTCTTTGCATTATCTTATTTAGTTCACACATTAAGTTTAGAAGAGAGTACTTTTAATGCCCCTTTATTCATTCATTCATTCATTCATTCATTCATTCATTTATTTATTTCATAGAGAGAAAAAGAGGCAGAGACACAGGAGGGGGAGAAGCAGGCTCCATGCCGGGAGCCTGATGTGGGACTCGATCCCAGGACTCCAGGATCACGCCCTGGGCCAAAGGCAGGCGCTAAACCACTGAGGCACCCAGGGATCCCCAGTGCCCCCTTTTAATGAGAGAATGGAAGCTCAGAGAGGTGAGCCCCAAACCTATGTTGCTTGAAAGTGGCAAAGCTGGAACTTGAATCCGAAGCGTTCTACAGTGAAAAAAAAGAAAAGAAAAGAAAAGAAAGAAAAGAAAAGAGAAAAGGAAAAGGAAAAGGAAAAGGAAAAGAAAAGAAAAGAAAAGAAAAGAAAGAAAAGGCAAAGGAGAGATCTCTAGGCAGCTTAACTCATCTGCCACAGTGGAAAGAATACTAAGCTAACTCTGGTCTAGGTTATACTATTCCTGGATTTGGTGACTTCAGAGAAATCTCAGGAATCCTGCAAGCTAAGATACGGGCAAGGGGTCTGAACCAGTGTTATCCTCTCCTAGAAAAGTGACTGTGTGAAGATAGGAGACTCCCTCTTGTCTTTAGACTGCCTTCCCCCTTTCTCTGACCTTTTATCTGCCTTTTCTTTCACAGAAAGCTCAGATGGGATGACCAACATTCTAAAGAGTATTTATATACCTCCTCCAACCGGGGAAGACTTCTATGACCCCCAGGTCCTGTGTCTCCTCAGCATCATTCAGAATTTACCACCTACCCAGTCTGTCAAAGTTAGGCAAAGCATAACTCTTACTCCTTTCCTTGGTCAAATGCTTTCCTCAGTACCATAAATCAGAAACTTTGTTAGAAGAGGGGACTGTACATTCCTTTTGGGTTATCTTCTGAAAAAAATAACTCACAGGACTTTGAAATCTATTTCACCCTAGGGTGAGGGAATAACAGATGTGATCACCCCTAAAACAACCAATGTGATGGTCCATGGGCAGGGATCACAGTTTCTATTCCCTGTGTGAAAAAAAGAAAAGCTCAAAGGCTTGCCTGCCCATTTGTCACTGTAGCTTACCCACAATTCCTATCTTGACACAACTCCTACACCTCCTTTTAATTCAATCTGGTGGGCATGTGGACTCATCACTTTCAGTCACTTGTTAACAAGCTGAGCCAAGACCAGGGGCCAGTGTCAACTGTGCTGCCACTGGCCACAGAAACACAGTAAAAAGTAGAGGGCCCAACCTCCTACTTTTTCACTGCTTTTAAAAAGGTAGGGATCTGAAATAACTTCTGCCAAAGCCAAGATCCAGGACACCCAGCACACTGCCAATCACAAGGGAGTGGTCATCTAGTATAGAAATTCCTCTACTTTCCAAATTTCCACTGGCACAAAGGTCATGCTGGAACTAGATGCCTGCCACCAGTAGGCAATCCAGTAGCTTTGGACCCATGAACGAATGGACTAGCCCTGTCTTCAAAAAGATAACACGTCTAATCTAAGATGCTCCCAGGCCTGCTGAACTGAAGAGTGCTGCACCAGACCCAGGAGTGCCATCATAGGGCTACTTTTTTGCTTTTGTCACTTCTCTCTCTCTCTCTTTTAAAGATTTTATTTATTTATTCATGAGAGACACACAGAGAGAGGCAGAGACCCAGGCAGAGGGAGAAGCAGGCTCCATGCAGGGAACCTGACGTGGGACTTGATCCTGGGTCCCCAGGATCATGCCCTGGGCCAAAGGCGGCACTAAACCGCTGAGCCACCCGAGCTGCCCTCTTTTGTCACTTCTCTTTCTCACACATACAGAGTCATATTAAGGGGGAAAAAAATCCTCCAACTTAGCAATAGCCTTTTCCATAAAAACAAAACAAAATCTCTATTTGAAAAGAAATATCATGAAAATGCAAGATACCCAAGACTTACCCTGCTATTCCCAAGAAACCTCGCAATGGTAACACTCCCCAAATGACACCTAGGACTACAGCAATGATCTGTCGGAACCAGTATATCACATCTAAAAATTCATCCTGTAGAAAGAAAGAAAGAATGCATGCATTATCTGCAGTAGGTGCCACACGAGAGCCTCTGTAATAGGTAAAGAATAAAAAAGCTTTCTGCTAAGAAACACATATTCCAGAGAAATGTCTCCAAGAACAATAGTGTGTAGTTTTCTGATCTCTAGCTCTTCTTATACTAAAACCTTTTTTTTTTTTTTTTATTAAAGAACATACTTAGTTATCTTAAATGATGACTTCTGGGCCTGAGTGCTAAATAAAAATTTTTAGAAAAATTTATTTTTTTTTTTTTAGGAGCTTCAAAAATGAAATGGCTTGGGATGAAATGGCTGTGGTAACTGTGCTACTGGTCACTGAACACTCGGGTCTGACCCTCAGAGGGGAGACCATAGACAGAAGCACCATCTTCCTGCACAGTGAATTCTAAGTCACAAAGAAAGGAATCAGAAACAAAAGTGAAGGCAGGTGCCAGCGTATCTAATTTTCACACGAAGACTCAGGTTTCTGACCCGCCCCAGATTGCAGAAACCAGTCCTTGTACAAGAAGAAAAGAAAGAGAAATGACACAGCACATCAGAAAGGTTTTACAAGAGCTGGGCAGGGCCAGGGGCAGGACAAGGGCACCTTCAGGAAGTACCTCCCATCCTCCCATCTTACAGGAACTCCAGGAAGGAAAACCCACTTCATCAGTCCAGAAAAACAAGGGGAAAATACTACAAATATAACATTCTCTTCAGGCCAACTGGAGTCAGGCTGTTTGTGTTGGTGCCTTCCAGGTCATGAAGCAGGGCTGGGGAGTGCCTATGCTCCGATCTGAAAGCGTGTGACCAGTGAAAACGTCTAGAAGCCCTGACGGTTCCTCACACACATTTGGGGTTTACCCCCTCGCCTTCCCTCTGTCACATACACACCCTCTGAGAGCGGGCCTCGGTCTCCCCTCTCACAGTGACTGAGGCATTCAGGATTTCCCATTCAATAAAAAGCCAGAGGCAGCAGCTCACCTCTAGCGAGCCTCCTCAACTGTAAACGCTTCCATGCACCACGGTATACCCCCCTTTCCAGAGCTGTTCCGACAACTGGGTGGAGAGAACCCCCGGCAGAAAGTCCACAGAAGACTGTTACCGTTACACTTCGCGCTAACGACTGCATGAAGTAATGAATTCGAAGACAAGTCGCTTACTCAAGATCCTACTGGCAGTAAAAGGCGACGGTGGAACTCGGCTCACGCCCTGCCCGCGGGTGGCAGCTCCTGTGCCCCCCTCGCTGCTTCCCGCGTGACCCCCGCGGCTTCACGCTTAGGCCGCCCTGCGGTGAGCCCGGAGCCCAGCCAGGTTCGCCGCGACACCCTTGGGCCGCCCCCCCCCACCAACCCGAACACTCGGCCGCGCCCGAACCGCGCAGGGGCAGGCTCGGGCCTGTCCACTGGTCCCCGAGTCCCAGCCGGCACCTCGAACCTGCGCCCTCGCCGGGCCCCACCGCACCTTGTCCTCCCAGGCCGCGTCGCTCCGCAGCACCTTGCTCCACACGGACACTTTGAGGGCCCCGTTGGCCAGCTGCGGCTGCGGCGGCTCCTCCTTTCGCCGCCCGCCGCTCATCCTCCCGTCGCGCCGCCCGGGCCGGGCCTGGGGCGCGCGGGCCAGGCCAAAAGGAGTCGGAGTCTGGGGTCGCGGGTCACGACGCGCAGGGCGGCGGCGGCGGCGGCAGCAGCGACAGAACCGGCGGTCGGGGTCGGTAGCGCGGCGCGGCTGCCCTCACTCGGCCGAGACACCGGCTCAGCTCGCTCTCGCTCGCTCAGCCGAGACCTGGCGCTGCGGGGGGAGGAGCAACGTAGCGCCGCGCATCCTCCCGCCGACGAACCCACGCAGCCAATCGGCAGCCGTGCAGCCGGCACCTCGGCGCATGCGCCCTACGCGTGACGGAAGTGACGCCAAGTTTCCCCCAGGCGCTCGGTAGGGTGCGAGGGAAGGGACAATTTAGGTGGGGATGGTGACGCGAGCGCGAGGAGGCGCTGTGGAGATTGGAGAACCACGTCCATCTGAATGGGGAGCCGAGGTTAGAGTCGAGCGTCCCCAAGAGCAGTGGGGCAGAACGCGGCCCTGTTTCCCCGCGTCTCTTCGAGCCCCCCAACTGGCTGCCCGGGAGCCCTGGGCTGCCTCTCGGGACTTAGCCCCTGCTTGTTTTCCTCCCCTAACCCCTGCAAAATTCCTTAGGACTCTGCTCAGGATGTAAACTGTTTTCTGTATTAATTTAGTGTCTTATCTTGAGCCAGCACCTTCTTTTGGCAAATGTGAGGTCCAAACCTGAGATCGAGAGGGGAAACGATTTTCTAAGGATCTGTAGCAACGTGGAAGCGGCTGAGAACTCCTGGGCCGGGCGGGGCAGGAGTGCAGAAAGTATCAGCTATTAGAATACGTGAGGATTCATCTATCGGGTCCTCCCTGTGTGCTAGGACGGTGGTTCACGGCGTGTGCGTCTGGACTGCCAGAGGTGCGTTCTCAGACCCCACCGCAGAACTGCCGAATCAGGAATTTTGGGAGTGGGGCCCATAATGAGCATTTTAGTGAGCCCTTCTGGTGGTGCCATGCGCATTGTACTTAGGTAATAAATTGAGACCAAGGCACTTCTGTGTGGTGGGTTTAAAGAGGCAGACTAACTTGTCTAGAATCACTCAACTAGTACCCTGGGTGTGTCTGACTCCGAAAGCTGTACTCTTAACCTTAAGCTTTCAGTCTTAAGGAATGTCAGTGAGGTCAGAACATCCTCTGTAGGGGCACCTGGGTGGCCCAGTGGGTTAAGCGTCTGCCTTCAGCTCGGGTCATGATCCCAAGGGTCCTGGGATTGAGCCCACATAGGGCTCCCAGCTCAGCAAGGGGAATGGGGGTGGTCTGCTTCTTCCTCTCTCTCTGCCTCTCTCCCTGCTTGTGCTCTTTCTCTCTCTGTCAAATAAATAAATAAAATCTTTAAAAAAATCCTTTGTATACCTGTCGACATTGACCTGTAGTTCTCCCCCTAGGTGAGCAAAGAATCTCCTAGGGAGCTTCTTCAGAATTCTATAGTTAGTGCTTTCAACCACAACTCAATTCCAAGATCCTCTTTCAATAAGTTGTGTGAGGTTGGACCCCCAAAGCATAGCAACAGACACTACTCTGTCTGGACCTAGGGGAAAGGCCCTATACCTAATATGGGTGCACACCTTTAGTCCTCTGACTTTCACATGGATCTTATTTTTTTCAGCCTTGCCTTTTTTCTGAACCATGTTCCCTCCCTTATGCAAAACTATGGTAAAGCCTAACTAGCTCATTCCAGTTTGAAAGTGTGCCATTGGTATAGAACTTCTTTTACAGATTCCCTGGGCGCATGCAGTGCTGGAGACAAACTGATCATTCATTCTGTCGTAGAATGTTGGAAGAAATCATAGCCCAAAATCAAAGACAGAAAAGGTAAGTTTTCAGTCCACTGGATCTGGCGGTAAAGGTTTGTAATGGGGAGTTTGATCTGGAGGGTTAGGGAAGACAGAGCTCCGAAGGAAGAGTAGGAGTTAAGCGGAAGAGGGAAAGGAAGAGAAGAGAGCATGCTAGGAGATGAAACCATGTCAGCTACTGGTAGGGAACAAAACCACAAATTGGGAACGAGTGGGAGGGACGTGCTGAAGAATTTGTTTTTTCCAGTTCTTTTGAAAAATAATTGACATGCATCACTGTATAAGTTTAAGGCCTACCACTTGATGGTTTGATTTACATCTGTTGTGAAATGAACACCATAATAGGTTCAGCTAATCTCCATCCTCTCATATAGATACAATGAAAAGAAGAAAGAAAAAAAATTTTTTTGTGATGAGAACTCTTAGGATTTATTTTTTTTTAAGATTTTATTTATTTATTCATAGAGACACAGAGAAAGAGAGAGAGGCAGAGACACAGGCAGAGGGAGAAGCAGGCTCCATGCAGAGAGCCCAGCGCAGGACTCAATCCAGGGTCTCCAGGATCACGCCCTGGGCTGCAGGTGGCGCTAAACCGCTGCGCCACTGGGGCTGCCCAGGATTTATTCTTTTAACAAATTTTCAGTATATCTGTACAGCATTGTTAGCTATAGTCATCATGTTGTACCTTACATCCTTACATTTATTTATCTTACCTTACATCCTTACCTTACCTTACATCCTTACATTTATTTATCTCAACTGGAAGTTTGTTTTAAAGATTTATTTATTTATTTATTCATAGAGACACAGGCAGAGGGAGAAGCAGGCTCTATGCAGGGAGCCTGACATGGGACTCAATCCTGGGTCTCCAGGATCACACCCTGGGCTTCAGGAGGCGCTAAACCGCTGCGCCACCAGGCCCGCCCTCAACTGGAAGTTTGTATCTTTTAACTGCTTTCTCTGTTTTCTCCTCCCCTCAACCATCCACCTGTGATAACCACAAGTCTGATCTCTTTTTCTCTGAGTTATTTATTTATTTATTTATTTAAAAAAAATTTTAATTTTTATTTATTTATGATAGTCACACACACACACACAGAGAGAGAGAGAGAGAGAGAGAGAGAGAGAGAGAGAGAGAGAGATGCAGAGACACAGGCAGAGGGAGAAGCAGGCTCCATGCACCGGGAGCCCGACGTGGGATTAGATCCCAGGTCTCCAGGATCGCGCTCTGGGCCAAAGGCAGGCGCTAAACCGCTGTGCCACCCAGGGATCCCTGAGTTTGTTTTTTAAGATTCCACATGTAAATGAGATCCATAAGGTATTGGTCTTTCTCCATCTGACTTATTTCACTCAGCATAAACCTCCAAGGTCCATACATATTGTCACAAATAGTAGGATTTCCTCATTTTTTGGTGGCTGGATAATCTTCCATGATGTGTATACCACAACTTCTTGATCCACTCATTTGTTGATGGACACCTAGTTGTATCTACTTGGTTTTTGTAAATAATGCTGCTGTGAACATGGAGCTACAGATATCTTTTTGAATTAGTGTTTTTATTTCCTTATTTCTTAGTGTTATATATTCCCAGAAGTGGAATTGCTGGATCATGGGGTATTTCTATTTTTAATTTCTTGAGGATCTTCCATATTGTTTTCCACAGTGGCTACACCAATTTATATTCCTACCAACAGTGCATAAGGGCTCTTATTTAATTTATTTATTTATTTATTTATTTATTTATTTATTTATTTATTTATAAAGATTATTTATTTATTTATTCATGAGAGACACAGAGAGAGAAAGAGGCAGAGACACAGGCAGAGGGAGAAGCAGGCTCGATACAGGGAGTCTGATGTGGGACTCCGGGATCATGCCCTGGGCTGAAGGCGGCGCTAAACCACTGGGCCACTGGGGCTGCCCAGGGGCTCACTTTTAAAGAAAAAAAAAAAAAAAGACTTACAGTCACTCAGGAGATAGGTGGGGGCACTGAAGATGGAGAAAATTCGAATAAAATGGTAAATTCTTTATTAAACTTATTTTTTTTACTTGCTATAAAATATACATTATAAAATTTATGATTTTTTTTAAAGATTTTATTCATTTATTCATGAGAGACACACACACACAGAGAGGCAGAGACACAGGCAGAGGGAGAAGCAGGCTCCATGCAGGGAGCCCGACGTGGGACTCGATCCTGGGTCTCCAGGATCAGGCCCTGAGCCAAAGGCAGACGCTCAACCGCTGAGCCACCCAGGGATTCCCTAAAAATTATGATTTTTAAGTGTATAGTTTGGTGGTACAAGGAAGTACATTTACTTTGTTTTGCCACCACCATCCATTTTCAGAACCCTTTCATCTTGCAAAACTGAAAGTTTTGTGCCCTGACACTATTAACTCTCCAGTCTCAGCCCCCAGCAACTACCTATTTTACTTTCTGTCCCTAAATTTGACTAAGTACCTCATAAGAGTGGAATCACATCATGTTAGTCTTTTTCTAATTGGCTTATTTCAGTTAGCATACTCTCTGCAGGATTCATCCATGGGATAGCTTATGTCAGAACTTTCTTCCTTTTTTAAGGCTGAATAATAACTTTGTTAAATATTCATTAGGTGTTCATTGTATATATTGTTAACCTTAAAAGTAAAATTCACTTATTTTACCAGCAAAAATAAGTTTATTTGGGAATAGCAGAGTGCTGCAATTTGGGACATGCAAACTACAGCAAAATGATAGGCAAGTCTGGAGAACAAAGGAAAAAAACTTGCTTTTTTTTTAAAAGATTTTATTTATTAATTTGAGTGAGAGAGAAAGAACACATGGGGGGAAAGAGAGAAGAGGAGGGGAGAGGGAGAAGCAGAGGGGAGAGGGAGAAGCAGAGGGGAGAGGGAGAAGCAGGCTCCCCACCAAGCTGGGAGTCCCAACTACTTGGAGCTCCATCCCAGGACTCTGGAATCATGACCTGACCCAAAGGCAGATGGAGAAAAACTTGCTTTTATAAAGGAAAGGGAGTTGGGAGGGGCTTTTTTAAACAAACAGTCCAAGCTGGAATAAGGTAGGAGTTTGAAGTATAGTGGCTTTTCATTGGCCATAATAGTTGTAACAGTCTCTCATTGACTGGGCTGTTGCTGGGAGAAGAGAAAATCTTTCTTCTTCCTGCTGAGATAGTAAAGAATAGGCTTTTTTCTTTTGGGAGTACAAAGTAGGTCTCTTTCTGTTGAGGTCTGCAATTGATGAGGACTTATAACTGTGAGAGCTCCTCCTGCTGGCCTCCCAACTCCATTTTATTTTATTATATCATTTTTTAAAATGACTTTTTAAAATTTATTTTTTATTTTTAAAAGAACTGCTACACTCAGTGTGGGACTCAAACTCACAACCCTGAGATCAGAGTCACACGTCT